TAATTTATTTCTCAGACAGTAAGTTACAACCATTTATCTTTTTGAGTTAATGGCACGATATAACAAAACTATTGTTGACTGCTGCGATGTGGGATATGACATTTTTTTACCCCCCGGGGGGGGGGGGGGGGGGGGGGCCATAGCATCCTTGGCTTCGCCTCAGGTGCTATGCACCTCTTGGGTGTTAAAAACTCTCAGCCTCTTGAGTGCTGTGGCCTCGTGGTTAAGGGCGCTGGATTCGTGGTCTGTGGGTAAAGCTGCGGGCTGTGGGTTCGAGTCCAGCCTGGGGTCATGGTGCGTGTGCCCTTGAGCAAGGCACTTTGTCACTCATTGCTTCTCTCCACCCAGGAGTAAATGGGTACCTGTGAGGGCAGAGATGGTTATTGTGATTGAATCAGCTTGCATCCAGCTGTATACTCCCCAGGGAGCTGAGATGGTACCAGTATTTGGAATGTTTATCCCTAACTCCCTAGGCCCTTTTGCTAGGATGTAGCTTCAATCCTGCAAAATCCTCCAATTGGCCTCATGGAAAAATAGCATATAGCCTCAATCCTGCAAATTCCTTCGTTGATTCTTGAATATGGTCCATGGAGGGATGACCACTGCCTGAATCCTGCAAAATCCTCCGGCTTTAACTGTCAATAGGCTGAGGCAGAGGCAGTGACATCCTGGAGCAGTGCGGAGGATGTCAAGTATAATCAAGGACTAAATTTATGCACGGCTGAGCATAAACAACACAAGGTCCGGCCCAAGACCTTGACACAGTGCGTACTCCGAAATCAGCAACACACTTTGGCCATGTAACCTCAATCCTGCAAATTCCTCCAATTTGCAAAAAGGATTTTGGAGGATTCAGGGCGGTTAGGGTTAATTGGCCCGGGGTAATAATAGGGGGATCAGGGGTAATAATAATACTGTAAGCGCTGTGATTTAGTTTACTAATAAGAGCGTTCTTAAATGCCGATTATTATGATTATTATTATTACGGTATTATTATTATTAAAAACGTCATATCCCATATCACAGCAGTCAACAATTGTTAAATATTAGCCCCACATTATTAATAATTACTACTGTGATGCCAGAGTGTGTAATAGTGAATAAACAATACACGTATGATTTGTTAAATGATATACCAGTATATTGCATGGCACTCTTGAAATATTGCATGGCACTCTTGATCTACATGTGGGTTTTCAAATAAGGCCTAAAAAAAAACGATTTGACACTCATACCCTTCCCTCAAGAAAACAAATCAATGGAGAAAATTTCCTTATTCACACGAAATTCTTTTGGCCGTGAGTAATTCTTTCCCCTTTCCGAAGCCAAATTAAATCTGACATATACATGCATGCTTGCGCAACTTCTAATACAAAAATGCCAAACGGTGTTTTGACGGACGTACCGGGCTGCCGCGGAGTGTAAGAGTGTGAACCGTGGCGAGAATAATAAAGTTAATAATCTGACAGTCATAACTGACACGTACCGTGGCCAGCGTGAATATTTTTAACACATGGCGTTCAGTGGTTAATAAAACAGCTCGCAGTTAGAGCTTCTCTGAAATCGCACGTCACAACACCGATCGGGCGTGTTGACAGTAGGATCTCGCATTTCGGACATTCATGTGCATTGACCTTTTCTGGTACAAAATTAGAACCCGAATCCGGAAAGCTGTATGAAAGGGCACAAATGAGTTAAATATAGCTTCATCTGTTATTTACATACACGTGTGTACATGTATAATTTACGCATGCACCCTGTAACGTGAACAATAAAGTCACATTGTAAACACTATCAAAAATTGACAACTTGATCTCCTATTTTTTTTCAATGACAATTTTCTGATTTGTCATCATGTGCCAATTTCAGGCAAGATTTTAGGATTTGTTTTTTTTTCAAAGCTCACAAATACTTTTTTTCTTCTGTGTTGACTTTGCTCTTTCTTTTTCACATTATTTTTCTCTTCCAAAATAATACAGTGAAATGTGGACGTTTGTTCCCATGGCAACGACTTCAATCGTCTCCTAATCCTCGATGTTTTGATTGCCATACAAAATGCAAGCACTCAACCAATCTGAGCTAGCTTAGTCTTACTTCATCACAAATGATGGTCTTTCTTTTTCGCATTTTTTTTTCTCTTCCAAAATAATACAGTGAAATCTGGATGTTTGTTCTCATGGCAACGACTTCAATCGTCTCCTAATCCTCGATGTTTTGATTGCCATATAAAATGCAAGCACTCAACCAATCTGAGCTACCTTAGTCTTACTTCATCACAAATGATGGTCTTTCTTTTTCGCATTTTTTTTTCTCTTCCAAAATAATACAGTGAAATCTGGATGTTCGTTCTCATGGCAACGACTTCAATCGTCTCCTAATCCTCGATGTTTTGATTGCCATATAAAATGCAAGCACTCAACCAATCTGAGCTACCTTAGTCTTACTTCATCACAAATGATGGTCTTTCTTTTTCGCATTTTTTTTTCTCTTCCAAAATAATACAGTGAAATCTGGATGTTCGTTCTCATGGCAACGACTTCAATCGTCTCCTAATCCTCGATGTTTTGATTGCCATATAAAATGCAAGCACTCAACCAATCTGAGCTACCTAAGTCTTACTTCATCTGCCTCCAAAAACCGTTTCACTCAGGCCACGCGACATCAGACGCACGAATAAAAAAGACTACGCAAAGAAACAACTTTTTTTTCCCCAATTCAATCAACATCCGTCTTGCATATCACCGCCTGACAATACCGGGACCATTAACGTGACACGACCGGGTGAACAGGCTACGCGGTCGCTAAAATGCCCTGCGCAGTCTGAAGGAACGCCTTCACGCACGCTGTCATGCGAGCACGAGTTTAATATATCGTATCTGGGATTTGATTTTTTTTTTCTTAAGTGGACGGGACACCTTTGCAACACAGCTATCGGTACGAGGACGTCTCATTAAACTTGATGACCGTGAGGGAAATCTGTGGATTTTTTTTTACATGTAAAAGACCAACGGGATAGGATACAAGATATGAATGCGTAAATCCGTCCGTCAGTGACCCGTCTGCAAAACTGCACAGTCACAAATTTGTGAAGGATTTTGAAGAGTTTCTTTAAACTTGCCAGATTTTAGCCCCTGCTGCCTGCAAAGAACATGAAAATTTCTTGGAACCTTTCGTTAACAGATTTGAACCAAATGAGGGGAAGTTTGCACCAGAAATTGTACAAAATGGTGCAACAGTTCTACGATGTAAGTTATAAACATTTGAAAAAATGAAGTACGGTATTTTAAAAAAAGATATATTAACCCTCCTAGCGTTTAAACAGTCACAGACAGTCAAAAATTCCATCCACTTCCCCTGCCATGCCTTTTACACAGGCTAGTCACATTTCAAGCAAGCACTCGGACTAGTCAAATTCAGTCAAGAGACAAGAGTAGGAAGCTGGTAGTTACAGCTGTCTTATCAATCACCTACAGTCAAAGCACAGCTGTATCAAGTGACATTAGCAGTCACAGCAAGTCAATCCTGCTTTATGTCAGCTGGGAGCCCTTAACTGTTGAAAACAGTCACTCGATTGATTTTGACTGAAAGGGCAACTTAGTAGAGAATGTATGTTTGCATAGGAGGGTTTTAGGCACGATAAAGGTCAGCAGAGGTGGCATAACCAAAAAAAAAAAATTTGTGTGTGGCTTGCCGAGTTACATGTACATTGTGTACAACGGACAGACAAACAAACATCTACTATACACGAGGACAAAAGGGCCATTTGCAATTCCATGCACTCAAAGTTACCAATAAGGAATTACAAATAATGCAGTGTACAAATTTGATGGCTTAACTCCCTAGCGTCTTTTACTAGGAACTGAATTCCATCAAAATCCATCAATCACTATGCGTCTAATACAAAACTGTACATGACATAATGGAATCCACCACTGACGCACTGGTTGACATTCATGGACTTGCTACACATGTATGCTTTTATCACAACAGCAGTACAGGAGGCTAGGCAAAATCAATCGGATACCCCTAGCACTGCTTCAGGCCATTAGGCCCAAGTCCATCATACTCCATCAATATTAAGTCACGCCAGGCCTTCTGGACCAAGTCCCCCAAAATCCACCAAAATGGGGGGATGGATTTTGATGGAGTTGGGGTGGTTAGGGTTAATAACAAAAATCGAAACAGTAGAGAAGATACAATTTGACTTTTCGCTTACAAGTATGTGACCTTATACAATGTTCAGTACATGTATACTAGACGAGCAATATGCGCCGCAGTACCTTGTAAACCAGTTTAACCCTTACCCTACTAGACCCTCCAACGCATGCCAATATGTGCCTCAAGAAAATCTCCTATGTTTTTTGCATGGCCCTCCAATATCTGCCATGTCATTTCAAGGGTAACTGGACAGGCACTCCAATACATGCCACAGAGAACAATGAGAGTCCTCTGATAACAAAGTGAGTGCCCCCAGCTGGTCAGTATCAGGCACCCTCCAGGGCCTCCAACTCCTGCCAATTGGAGCCTTCACTGCTACATCAAAGTATCCTCCAATAAACTGCAGCTGGAGGGCATTGGCATAACCAACTGACATGCAGTAAACTACCCTCAGAGAGTAAGGGATAAGGAACTATATAATGGGTCTCATATTTCTCATAAACTTTATTCACCTTTCTTTAATAATAGACATAATTTGCGCCAGGAGTGTCATATTGACAGATATGGCACGGTATAAATGTTCACTATTATTATTATTATTATTATAAAAGCTTCATACATGCATTCACACACTCGTGTTTGAACAGTGCCCCTAAGGCAGATGACAATCATCCCCTGCAAACTTATCAAATTTTCCGATCTGCTTGTCCCGTCCCCCCCTCTTCCTCGAAATGCTGACAAGAAATAACACTCCTATCATCATCCACTGTGACAAGTCAAACTGAGGTTCTAGGCAACATCTTACCCCAACCCTAACGAGAGCATCAAGTGCTTCCACTCACCTTAACAAAGTTATTGAGATAGGCCACCCGCCTGCCCCTGTTGATGTTGCGCTCTTGCACGACGTGAACAAGGATGTCACGCACGTTGTCGGCCGGCTCTGAAAATTTCAAGAAAATCATGATTTTTTTGTAACTCTCAAAAAAAATATGATCCGGCACTGTAAATTTCTGAAGCTGCACTGACGATCAGCGTTTGGCAAAATGACCACTGGCCTTAACACAGACCTGTTTTTATATTCTAAAAAAAGAATTGGTTTTTTTTTTCTTTTTGGCCATTACTGCTAGCAATGGGAAATCATATAACTAAATGAGGTGGTTTTGAGATCTGTTACTGATAATGAAACTGTAGGACTGATTCTGCGGGCGAGCTCGTCTAAAGGTTAATAGCGAAGGAAAAACAAAATCTCTGATAATGACAAGTCATTAAATAAACATTGCCCAAAACCTCCCAAGCTAGTTAAGTCAACACCTTCCAATAGGGCACGGTTTCTGGAAAATGCTGCAAATATCAAGTTTTTTTTTTTCTTTTGAAAGGATCTAGGAATGCACAGGCATTAGGAATTCATGAATTTTGCGCTGTTTGCTTGGGATTTTTCACACTTAATATTCATAGAGGGGGCTTTAAATCATGCATGCGGTGAATTTTTCTGAGGAACACATTTTATGCAACTTTCTACTCCTCTTAGATACATAACAATTATCTGACATCCCTTTTTGCTTAATTTTACTGAAAAGTGCACTTCTTTAAACAAATAAGAATTTCAATGAGTTTCCGGACAACGGAGGGCGGTGTTGCTGTGACGTCATTTCAGTAAGACACTGTTTAGTTTGGGGGTTTTCTGTTCAAAATGTAAACCCAAAAGTTTGCCAATTGTCAAATTTGTGAGAAAAGTTTGCTCATTGACTTACTGTCATGTACTGACACAACGAATCACTAACGAACAGAAAATTTACGACAGCAAAATATCTAAAATTCTGACAACTTTTGGTGCTGAAATAGCTGTTAACATGGAGGTTTCTGCCTGCTATGACATCACACTTTTGCTAATGAATATGGAAATTTGGATCAATTAGCACAAAAAAGGGACCAAAATACCCTGGAAAAAGGCAAAGTCGAAATTGAAAACAGGGTTAAATAGGACCAAGGTGCTTTTCAAGGATTTCGTTAAAAAAAACTGCAAGTTAAACTTGCACGATCCCCTGGCATGCCGGCAGTATTTATACAGTCAGTTAGTTAGCACACTTTTCAGTTGACCCAACCAAATTCAACAATGACCTCGTTTGACCCCTAGATGACCTTTGACCTCAAATGTCTCAAGTCATCTTAAGTCCACCTACCCAAAGACTACTGTCACCAAGTTTGGTTGAGATTGAAGTCTGACTTTTTATGTGACAGCACTTTCCAGTTTACCTAACCAAAATCAACAATGACCTCATTAGACCCTTGATGACCTTTGACCTCAAATGTCTCAAGTCATCTGAAGTCCCCCTACCCAAAGATTATTGTCACCAAGTTTGGTTGAGATTGAAGCCTGGCTTTTCATATGACAGCACTAAACAGTTACCCTAACCAAAATGGAACACACGGACACACAGAAGGAATAACACTATCGAAAGATCCCCCCTTTCGCAGAAGCCCTTAAGAGCCGGGGGATAAAAATTACATTGCATGGGCCCTTTAAATTTCTGCGACAGATTGCACTGCCCATGCATATTGTATGTTTAACCCTGAACACATGAATTTCCAAGTTGAATTTGTTATTTATAACATGGGCTTTTCGGTGAGATATGGAAATGGAAACGTCAATCTGCGATATGAAACAAATAATTTTCATTTCAAATTGTCAATTCGAAATGGTTTATTCCTAATTCCAACAATCTCAATATACCGGAGTGTCATTTAAAACCTGAAACCCTCCTGAATCCTCCAAAGTCCTACGGGCGGTTTTGATGGATTTTGGAGGAATGAGGATGAATGCAACGTACAATTTTGGAGGATTGAGGGCACATGGACATTCAGTATCGGTTGATTTTGGAGGATTGAGGATGAATGGTGTTTAAAGAAGAGGAGGATTTTGGAGGATTAAGGCTGAATGCATTTTAAAATAGAGGGTTGTTGGGGGATTTTGAAGGATTGAGGCAGCGGGTATCCTTCCTTAGAACAAGTATATGCAAAATTTTGGAGGAATTTGGAGGGTTGAGGATGGTTCCTAGCAAAAAGGGCCTAGAGGAATAGGGTTAATCCATGCACAATCCTGTTAAATCCTCCAGTTCCTCAATCCTTCAAAATCCTCCATTATGCAAAGTCAATTTGGAGGAATGGGGAAGGTCAGGGTTAACAAATAAAAACATTTATCGACTATCATTCCACCCGTTTTTATTTGGTTATTAAAATTCACAGCCACAAAAAAGGAAGAAAACATTTTATCCTGCCACCCACAAATTCTATGAAAATGATACTTTTCTATTATTAGGTACATGTTTGTACGCAGGTCTATAAATAGCCACATTAGGAACAAATGCGTTTAATTGAATACAAAACATCTGTATCAACCCCAAAATACTGAATCGTTAATTTAATATTTGAATGCCTCATCTCCAATTAAAGCTATTTTCAGCCAAAGAAAACTGACAAATTTCCTTTTTGCCAATTATGAAATTAAATATATGCAGGACATGTATTGTGAAGGAAGGTCATTTCGACGATAAATAGGACTTGTGTAAAGACACTTCAAGTACATGTTTGGGGACAGATTCTAATAATGATAAACAACGTCTCGTGATCCGTTGCTCTTCAAATTGCTGGCACCAAGGCCTAGTAAGGGTATGAGAGGGGCTACAGTAGATTTTACAGGGTGACCGTAAGGTCATGCCCAAATCCTGCTAAATGCACTTCAAAAATCTGTCAGATTTATCAAAAATCTGCCAAATTCCCCAGAATCACTTGAAATACACTATAAACACTTAAAATCACATATACTGGAATTTGTATCCTTGTGGAGACATTCCTTTGTTCTCGTGTACTAAAGTTTACGAGTTTGAAAGTTTAGTTTAAAAATGCTCTTATTTTAAACAGAATCAATTTCCTTGGCTGAAATTTGGACTTAACATCCCTTTTCTAAAACTCTTCCATTTGCGACGGATCAACATAGCTTGGAAATTCCTAGTTTTTGAGTAAAATCCATACATCTATTTCGTGAAAACCTTGTGGAGACGTATTCATCTATAGAAATTGCCCTGTGGAGACGTACTTGTATGTATACAATCTTTTGTTCCCTATTGTGTGCATGTCTCCACAGGGCACGGTGTATCAGATCACATGTGTTGTAGAATTGCCTTAAATAAGGCTCAAATTACATAATAAACAATCTATTGTCACATGATGTCATGAAATTGCGTAAAATTTCATGTAGGCAAAATGCGGTTGCGTCATGACAAAGTCCGGTTCCAAGTTAACCTCAGCACCTACCAGTAGACCAGGCAACCTGTCCCATTACGCAAGGGTTTGTTTGAAAAGATTGAAGCTTCTTTTTTTTTATCAAATGTACCATTTTTTTAAAATTTGCTTTGTTTTTCTGTCAAATAACCATTTTTGCAGAATTCTGCCAGAAATCTGCCCAAAAAAAATCCATTTTGTTGAATTTTCGGTCAAACTAGTTTTTTTTACGAACAATTCTGTCAAATTTAGCGAAAATTCGGCTAAAACGGTCACCCTGACTGCATGTACAGTACGAGGACGTATCCAGAACCAATTTTTTTGAGGGGGGAGGGGGCAACAGGGCTTCAGAATTTTTTTTTCCAAAAAGGGGGACAATTTGAAAAATACTTTTTAATATAAACAAATCTAAAGATTAAAAAAAAATATTTATTTTTTCCTTTTTTGGGGGGAGGGGGGGGGGGGGGGAGGGGGCACCCGGATCTGCCAAGGGTACTGTATTCCTGAAAAATGTTGTCTTTGTACCCCATAACCCCAAATTAAGTTTTGACTATTTTTGACAAATCAAAGTCAAAGTCAATTTAGAATTTGTGCCTCAAGTATGCGCTTTGAGAAGGGAATGATGTGGCTGCGTCATGTTCTATTTTTGAATGTGGTTACCAGACAAGGTGAACCTCTGGTCAGGAACCAGTGAAAATCCACTTTTGTTATTTGTATGAAGACTCGAATTACTGTCGACACATAAATCATGAAAGCACATGGAAAATGCCAGTCTAATTTACAAGTGACAGTCAGTCAGTGTTAGGTACCAGTTTAATAGACTGATAACCAGTCTAATTCATAAGTGTCAGTACCGTACTAGGGCCGGGTCCCGAATACAAAGAAAAGTCGAAGAAAACAAAGAAAACGAACCAAATTTCTTTTATTAATTAAGTGACGTCACACTTAAGGCAGGCACTGCATACACCACAATCTTTTCCTAACAAAAAAATGGTTTAAGTAGTCAAAAAGTGACTCAAATCGCACCACAGAGATCTGTAGAATACAAAATAAAATCCTGCACCCGAATTCATGAAACTCATCATAACTTACGATGCATTGCAGCACTGCGACACGTCGTATCTCTACGATGCGTCGCAGCTGCGACGCGTCCTGCGATCCATTTCACAAAACACGTCGTAAGTGCAACGCGTTGTAGGTGTATTTATAGCACAACTCGGTGACTGTTTTATGTATTTAGTCAGCGTACAGTAAATAGTCGTCTGATATTCAACAAAGAGTCGTCGGATCTCAGCTCGAAATTGTTTAAAACGTAAAACAAAATGGCGGCCGTGTGATGCAATATTAAAGGAAATCAAGCTCTCAGTGGACTATATAGCTAGTTTGAAATTTCAACTGCAATATTCAAGGCTAATTCATAATTATTCAGTGCATTTTCTATTTACACTTTACACACATTGTCTCAGCATTATAGTCTCGTTTATGTATTTTTATGGCATAAAACTGGCCAAGAAAAGGACGCTTCTTATTTTGCGATGACCACTAGACACATTGTAGCTTGCGACGTGTTTTAAGCCATTGTCAAGGAACTTACGACGCGTTCAACACCGTCGCAAGTTTCGTGAAATGGAGTATAAGACACGTCGCGAGTTGCGACGTGTT